ATTATGTGTATAAAAGTAGGATCCTTGTGAATTTTATCTGTATATATATCTAGGTCATCCTCGTAAAATTTTTAATATTCTATATGGGAATAGACAGATGCCTAAGCAAAAGAGATTCATGCTTGGTTAACATTTAAAATTATTTCTTGTCATTCCTTTTAATTTCTAAATTGTAATTTCTAAATGCCTAATTTTAAGTACTTTGAGGAGTATTAATAACCACTGAAACTAAGATAGAGGCGCCTGCCAAGACCCAGCCTCCCGGATCTTGCTCAGTGTGGAGGAGCATCACTCTCCCTCCGTCCCTTGTGTATGAAGGTTCTCCCGAGAAACCATACCAATAGGATACACATATTTACATACAAAGGGATTTATTATAAAGAATTGGCTCACATGATAAAGACATGACAAGTCCAGATCTGCAGCCTAGAGAGGCAGGAGAGCCGATGTTACAGGTGAAGTCTGAAGGCAGTCTGCTACGGAATTTTCTCTTATTCAGGGAGCCCAGTCCTTTCTTTCTGTTCAAATCTTCAACTGATTGGATGAGGCCCACCTCCTTATGGAGGACAGGCTGCTTTTTCCTACTGATTAAAATGTGAATCTAATCCAAAAACACCTTAGCAGTAATACTCAGAATAGTAGTTGACCAACTATCTGGGCTCCCCATGGCCCAGTCAAATTGACATGTAATATTAACCATCCTATCTTGCCACTCATCATCCCTCCTTCCTACAAGCACAAAATCCTACCATGGAAAGAACAAGGCCTTCAATTTCAAGGACTGTTAGACTGCAGTTTAGTAGCAGAAATGTAAGTGGGCTTTGACATCAAATATAGTGGGGTCAATTCCCTATTCATGAGTGCAGTTTAGGGACCTCAAGCAAGTTATTCAACTTCTCAGAATCTCAGTTTGGTCCTTTGTAGAACAGAGAGTACAATTTCTCTCTCATAGGTTCATTATGAGAAGTCAACTAAATAACATCCCTGAAAGTTCCTGGCACATGACGGGCTACCAATGAATCTTATCCTAGCAGGAGTCCCAGCTGTGTTGTTTGCTACTGATATTTAGTTGTGTCTGGCTGCCTGGTAGGGTGGGGCTGCCAGGAGACTGTTTGCTTCAGGAAATGAAGAGCCTCTGGGGAAAGAACTCATACTGAATGAGACAACAAGCCTTAGGGAGCTGGGGAAAGGCTGGCTTTGACTCTGGTGCTATGCCCCTCCCCCAGCTCAACCCCTTCCAGATGTGCTCATATTGCAATCCTGCCAAGAAAGGAGACTGAACAAAAACAAAGAGAGCTATTTCTTCTAAAAACATCTGGCTTATGCTCTTGTATTTCTTCCATTCTTCTTTCCACATACAGTCACTGGGGAGAATTCTGACTGTTTCCGCTGCCCTGGGATCCTCTTCTCTTGGACAGGTGGGTCTGCTTTACTAAGCCAAACTCAGTCTTAGGACCTGGATTCTCTGTTTGGGTTGCTTGAAGAAAGGAAGTACCTGGCTTCCTTACTGTCCTTCCCAAATCTGCAATTTTTGAAGAGATAAGCATTTACAAAGACCTCCATAGGGACTTAGCTTTTCTATCCAAAATATGAAAGTCCAGTTCCTGGTTAGTAACTTAATAGGACAAGCCACCTGTTATACCAGCAGACACATTCCCTGATGGGCCACTAGGTCCATTTATTCCCCTATATGACCCCTCTGAATAAGGAAGCAGATACTCAGTAGAATAAGGACCTCCTCCGTTACTCACCTTGGGAACCAGCCCAGACATCCTCTGGAATGGCACTGGAGAGATGCTTAAATTTTACATGATTAGACATACATTCAACACTGAGGCTGCCGTTGTTTCCCCATTCTGCATTCCCCACCCTGCACTGGACAGTGCCTTTCAACAGATAAAAACATTTCTGCTTTCCATCCCCACCAAAGATAGTTCTTCTAGTGAGTGCTGTCCTATTGACTTTTCTGCAGTGATGGAAAGGTTTTATATCTGCACCATCCAATGTGATAGCCACGCATCGCTGTTGAGCACTTTAAATGTGCTAGTGTGACTAATGAACCAGATTTTTAATGCCATTAGTTAAAATAGTTTAAATTGCAACTGATAGCTAGTGTCTACCACATCATGCCATGCATATCTAGAAAATCACTCCTCAGCCTCGTGAGACTTTTTCTGCCGTCCAATGGATCCATAACCCTATTTTCAGGATTCCACCTATGTGTTCCATTCTCTTCGTAAGCTTCAAATTTTAATGAATTTGAATTCCTCAATGAGTAAATTCATATACAGTAATTTCTGATAGAAGTAGTTCCATACAACCTTCAAATAATCCTGAGACAGCTAGTTATAAATTTAATCTTGGCAAGTTGTTTTGAGGTTCATCACTTGCAAGCCCTCACAATAAAAACCAAAGGATAAATACCAGTTTAGTTATCTCTCCAATACCTAAAGAACTTCTGAGCCTCCTTGTTTGCCCAGGATTCTCCCAATGGATCGTCTCCAGTCGTCCAGCCTGCCTACCTGTCTGTTCATTCCCTTCCCCCACAGTAGACTTAGGGGTTACCCTTCTTCTAACTCTGAAGGCCAAAAGTATATTCATAGAGTAAAAGCATTTCCCCACACCCCAAAATGTTTTACGTTTTAAAACTGTGTCATTGTTTTCTTTGTTGTTCTGAACGGAACCCATTCTATATAAAATAGATATAGATATAGATGATGATTAGAGATAGAGATAGAGATAGAGATAGAGATAGATAGATAGATAGATAGATAGATAGATAGATAGATAGATAGATAGATAGATGGTTTTCAGAAGCTTGCCCTGGTGGAACAAAACTAAATGGTCCTCACAATTGATTCTCAAATTTCAGAGTGCACAAGACTAGGACAGTTTCACAGATGCATCCTCTATATTCCCATTTAGTAGGTCTCAGGTGGGACACAGAAATTTTCACTTTTGCAAAAACCCCAAAGCATAGTGATGCAGGTAATTCTTGGAATTCACTTTTAGGAAACCTGAACTAGAAAAAAATAACTTACATTTCTTTATTTCATCTGTGAAATCTGTACAAGAATTTGATGGCAAAGTTAAGCACAAAATGAAAAATGCAACCTAAGGCAACTGTCAATAATCAAAGGCATTATTCCCTGATCTTTAGTTTTCTCCTCAAACTTTCAAGTCACTTACATCATTCAGTGATGTGCTTAATTCTTTCCCAGGAATCTAAATCAAAGTACATCCTGAACCCACCTCAGAAATTGTTCTACTCAGAACGCCACTCCATACCACAGTCCAGCTGCCTGGTGTCCCTCCTACTCGAGTGTCATTCACAGAGCCCATTATACTCAGGCACCAGTCACTGCTACGCAGACCACCTCCATACCTCTTCAGATGGGCTTTGCAGACCGCCTATGACACTTTATGCCCTACCTCTTTCTCACATCCCAGGGGCCTGAGCTAAATTTACCTCTCTGGACTGTGCATCTACTCCTGCTACTAACCTTCAGTTTTTAAAGCTCTGACATATAACAACAAGGCTTTTGATAGCAGCAAGCCTGTGACAGGTGAGAAAAGCAGGTGCATTAAAAGTAAAATTAGAAAGCTCATGGGCTCCTAAAACCTTCATTCCTGCCTAAGGCTGTCAAAGGTTTCCTTGCTTCCAGAATATATTTTCTGCCCTTTGGGGACAAATTCATTTGACACATATTTGTCTTCTGCAAATCAATGGACAAACAAAGCACATTAATAGGATTTTAGGGTCTTCAGAATTTAGACTAACTTGGGCAGGAGTCATGATGGATGTTCAGGAAATGGGAGGAGAAGGGCTAGAAGGAGCTGGCAGAGACATCTCATTACTTAGGAAGAGCAATGACTGGGTACCTGACTCAACTGCAGCAACAAGCACCACTGGGGGGTAGATAATATCCAAAGGGACAAGACCCAGTATTTGAGTATTGGCATCAGTATTTGTTGGAAGAGCACAATGGTTAGAGACCCACGCAGCAACAGTTATCCTGTGGCTGTATATACTAGTACATTAGGATCCCAATATACATCTGGAGCCAATGGCATATTGTAGAATACAATATGGTTATGGCTTGGTTTGAAGCAAGACAGTAAATTTGTATTCTGAAATGCAAAATTAGGCAGATAGATAACAATGTGCAGGTGGCTATACCAAAATAAATACTTCTTTGCTCTGTCAGAATTAGCTCAGGAACTAGATTGACATGAGAAGGACTAGTAGTCACTTTTGTGCCATTTGTCCTAATACTCATCAAGACAATGGAGCTACCATTTTTGATACTTGGACTCTGTTATAATCATTCAGGCTACACCATAAAACACACCATCTGCACCAGTTGTAAGCTCCACACCCAGACTTGTCACCATCTACCCTTTGCATTACCATTCCAGTCAAAGAGAATCCTCCTAAGGAATCAAGAAGGCCAAGGCTGATGAGCGGGATTGTAACAGTGCTCCGCATTCAACTCAACTGTTCAGACCATGCCTCCAAGTTAATCTTCCAGGACTACCATCCTTTTTCTTCTTTCCTGTCACTCTCACCTCCACTAGTTTTCAAAGTACCATCTAGAGAGAAATATTCAAGCCTAGCATAGCTGACCAACATTTTGGCAGATGAAAATAAAATGCTTATGAGAGGTGTATCAATGCCAATCAAATGTTGAATTCAATGAAATCAAAGGTATAAGATCTCCAAGGGGAATAAACTACTGCTAAAATATGCAAATGCAAATTTTCCATGCTTTTGACAAAAAGAATTAATGCAAAAAAATGAATCAAATGATATGGGCAGTGTGTGAGCTAAACACCTGCTCCACCCAAAAGGGTTTTCTGTTCAATATACTACACAAGCATTAATTTGCATGTGTTTATTACTCCTAATTTTCAAGCACATTGGAGGTCAATTAAGAAACTGATAAACCTCTCTCTTGAAAAGATTAAAGGAGAAAAACACATCATTAATATGCTCACCAGAAAACAGAACTCCATCATCATTGCTGAAGGTAAATGTCCACGTTTACATGAGCAGATGGAAGGCTAATGATAAAGTTGTCCTTTTCACACCTCAAATAATGGATGAAATAGAATCTTCATCTGCAATATAACAACAGACATACATTAAAATGCTTCATGCTTGAAAAGAAAAGTATCACCTGTCAAACTCAGAAAAAAGCTTTCTACTACTTATTCAAGCAAGCTTCGCAACTTATACTGGATTTGAATAATTAATAGTATAATCATTAAACACCCTAAAAAAGTCAAGTTATTCAAGGGATATACATATTACCTATAAGCAATACCTAATCAATATCTACAAAGTTTAAACAGATTGAAGAAGAAGTTTGGAAAATATATATATTTTTTCCAAGTGCCCCCCTCTCCTGGCCTGGTCGCCCCCAACTACCCCCCTGCCAGCTTGTTTGCCCCTTACTGCCCCCACTGCTGGCCTGGTCACCCCAAGTATATATATATATATATATATATATATATATATATATATATATATATATATATGTATATATAGACACACACACACACTAGAGCAGTGATGGCGAACCTATGACACACGTGTCAGAGGTGACATGCAAACTCATTTTTTTGGTTGATTTTTCTTTGTTAAATGGCATTTAAATATATAAAATAAATATCAAAAATATAAGTCTTTGTTTTACTATGGTTGCAAATATCAAAAAATTTCTATATGTGACACAGCACCAGAATTAAGTTAGGGTTTTTCAAAATGCTGGCACACTGAGCTCAAAAGGTTCGCCATCACTGCACTAGAGGCCCAGTGTACAAAATTCGTGCAATGGGTGGAGGCCCTCAGCCCAGCCTGAACCCTCTCTAATCCAGAACCCCTCAGGGGATGTCCGACTGCTGGCTCCTAACTGCTCGCCTGCCTGCCTGATCACCCCTAACTGCCACCCCTGCTGCCTCGGTTGCCCCCAACTGTCCCCCCGCCAGCCTGGTCACCCCTAACTGCCCCCCACTGCTGGCCTGGTCACCCCCAAGTACCCCCCTCTGCCAGCCTGGTTGCCCCCAAGTGCCCCCCTCTCCTGGCCTGGTCGCCCCCAACTACCCCCCTGCCAGCTTGTTTGCCACTTACTGCCCCCACTGCTGGCCTGGTCACCCCCAAGTACACCCCTCTGCTGGCCTGGTCACCCCTAACTGCCACCCTGCTGACTTGGTCGCCCCCAACTGCCTCTTCTGCAGGCCTGGTTGCCCCCAACTGTCCCCCCATGCCAGCCTGGTCACCCCTCACTGCCCCCCTGCTGGCCTGGTCATCCCCAACTGCTCCCTGCCAGCCTGCTTGCCCCATGCAGCCTGCTGTTCGGTCGTTACTATTACTGTGATGGTGTCCTGGACAATTTGCATATTCCTCTATTATTAATATCTACACTAATAAAAGAGAAAAATGGTAATTGGCGTACGACGCTACCCTTTTCATTGGCTAATCAGGGCTATATGCAAATTAACTGCCAACTAAGCTTGGCAGTTAGCTACCAACTAAGATTGACAGTTAACTGCCAATAAGATGGCGATTAATTTGCATATGTAGGCACAATGCAGGGAGGTGAAAGGGAAAGCAGGAAGAAGCCCCCTGCCACTGACAGTGATCGGAAACCCAGGGGGGAGCTAAGAGCTGGGGGGCAGGGCAAAGGCGGCCCCAGGGCCGCCTTTGCCCTGCCCCCCAGCCATGATCGGAGAATCAGATGCCTTTGCCACCCTGGCTAGTGATAGCAGGAAGTAGGGGTGGAGCCAGCGATGGGAGCTGGGCACGGTCGAAGCTGGCAGTCCCAGGAGCTAGGGGTCCCTTGCCTGGGCCTAAAGCGAAGCCCACGATTGTGGGGCCGCTGCAGCTGCGGGTCCCTGCTGCCCGGGCCGGACGCCTCAGCCAGAGGCGTCCTGCAGGGTTAGGGGCAGAGCCCGCGCGATCGCAGCGCCCCTCACTGCCACTGCAGGTCCCCGCTGCCCGGGCCGGACGCCTAGGCCAGAGGCGTTAGGCCTGGGCAGGGGCGGAGCCTGCAACCGCGGGGAGCTGGGGGTCCCCTGCCCAGGCCTGACACCTCTGCCGGAGGCCTCAGGCCTGGTCAAGGGGCCGATCCGGTGATTGGTGATCGGAGGGTGATGAGGGTCAACTCCTCTGGCCGAGGCATCAGGCCTGGGTGGGGGGCTGGGGGTCCCCTGCCCAGGCCTGATGCCTGGGCCAGAGGCATCAGGCCTGGGCAGGGGCCAGAGCCAGTGATCGGGGGGAGATGGGGGTCCCCTGTCCAAGCCTGACACTTCTGGCGGAGGCGTCAGGCCTGGGCAAGGGGCCGATCAGGTGATCGGAGGGTGATGGGGGTCTACGCCTCTGGCTGAGGCATCAGGCCTGGGCAAGGGGCAGATCCAGCAATCGGAGGGGTCTGGGGGTTCCCTGCCCAGGCCTGATGCCTGCACCAGAGGCATCAGGCCTGGGCTGGGGGCAGAACCAGTGATGGGGGGAAATGAGGGTCCTCTGCCCAGGCCTGACGCCTCTGTCAGAGGCGTCAGGCCTGGGCAAGGGGCCGATCCTGCGATTGGAGGGTGATGGGGGTCAACGCCTGAGGGCTCCCAGTATATGAGAGGGGGCAGGCTGGGCTGAGGGACACTCCCCCCCACACACACCCAGTGCACGAATTTCGTGCACCGGGCCCCTAGTAGATATATATAGGAAACCTCCATTTGACCAAGAATTTTAAGGAAAGTAAATCATGACCCTTGCCATCAGGAATGAGAAAATACAATTTTGGCTTTGAATGGAACTACAGGAACCCATCTGTCTATCATTCATCCATTCTGCAAACTTTTGGTGAATGTCTGCCAAATATGTGACACTATACTAGCTAATAGAATTTCAAGTGGATTAATGAAGAATCTTCAAGTTGAAAGAGATATTTCCATTGCAATGAGTTGCTCTCACATTATCAGTTGACTTACTGAGAACTGTAAAATGGAAAACAACCTATGGATGTGTCAGAGGAGGTAAGTACTGAGACTAAATCCATAGAGAAAGGACCTACAGGAGCCTTTTACTCCATGCACAGATGACATGCACTCTGCGATTTATTGAAGGTTTTCAACTGAGCAGTAATGTAGTCATAGCTTTGTTTTAGAATATTTGGAGATAGAATTGTGATTGTGGTCAACCCTGGTAGTTAGTGGGTCAATAATAAGCTTTTGCTATGATCAAGAGAGAAATGCAAAGCAGTTTGGTCTGTAACAGGGGTGGTGAGAATATTCAAACATAAAAAGATTCAAGTGATATTTAAGAGTCTTCACTGGACTAACTGATTAAGTGGATACGAGGGACAAAGAGAGGGAGAAAGCAAGGATGATGTTTCACTTCATCTATGTGGACCCCGATTTTTATCTATAAAATGGATTTATTATCATAACAGTATTTACAATGCAGGGTTGTTGTAGGGATCAGATGAAAACAATATAAAAGTAGAATCACTCTGTAAACTTTGAAAAGCTCTATATAAATGTTTGTTTAAAACAACAACAACTAAAGGTGTTAGAGGAAGAAAGTCTCTTCTTTGAATGTCAATATTTCATCTACAAAAATGGAACAGTGAGGTTGCCCTCCAGCTCAACATTCCTTGGCTCTATGACACTTTCCTTGACAAGGTAGAGTAATTCACCCAATTCTTTGAGATGAAATGGAAAGACTAGCTCATACCAGCACTACAATTTCAAAGGTGAGCCTTTAATTCTGCTCCATACCCTAATATGTGCTGGGCAGGCATCATTACTGTGCACTTTCTCTCTATGCCAAGTCTGGACATGAGAAAGTGATTAAGACATGGTTTTTAGGATGAGCTACTTATTGTCTGATATTAGTTTGTATTACTTAGATGTAATCGATATTCTGCATATCCTAAATAAACTTTCCTCCCTCCGCCTTGCAAAATGAAGACCAGCCAGTTTTCCTTACAATCCTTATTTCTTTCCAGAGAAGTTCTGTCCTCTCTTTCTCTAACCCTTTTCTACTTGCTTTAGTTCCCAATAACAGCACCAGAATCTATTCCTAAATAAACCTCACAAGATGTATGAAAAACAAAATTTATTGATTGTGTGCTTAAATAGCTATAGTCATTATAGTTGTATTTCAAGTTTGACCAATTAATCTCTCATTAATTTATCCAGAAAGAATAAAAAGAAAAAACAAGTTCACCACTCTAGACTGTGGCCTTCACAGGTGACTCATTCTACAGTAATTCGGGAACCATGAATATTCCAGTTGTCTCCCTGCTTCCCTTTTCAACTTTAGGCTGGTCTTGAACCTTGTAGGATCCCTCAGGGTTCCCTGGACTTACCTTCTTCTCAAGTTTTTATTTAATTAAAAAAATACACAAAATATATTTGGTTAGCATTTCTCTATAGGATCTACTACTTCATGCCACTCTGATTAGGGAGAAATACCAATCTCTATATGTTTTTCTGGCTGAAAATTATAATTGTCTATATTCACATCACTCTTCAAAGCATTAGTTTTATACTTTATTTCATTTAAGTTTATAAACCACCAACTAACTACTCTTTCCATTGTAACTATTTCTTGGTTACTAACTATAGTAAGAAAAATTACAATCTATAGGTGATAAAAAAAAATTCTTAACTTACTTCTGCTTGGAAAACCATGAGAGCAGAGAGAATTTAAAAAAAAAACAAAAAACTGTTAACCCAGCCAACTACCAGGTTAATTCATAAATAGATGATTTTTTGTTAGTTGTTTTTTAATTAAATTTATTGGGATCACATTGGCTAACATGAACATACCGGTTTCAGGTATGATTTCTATGTTACAAGATCTGTATATTACACCATGTGCCCACCATCAAAAGTCAAAGGACCCCCTTCTCACCCAGCCCGCTTCCCTCTGGCAATAGAGATAGAGGTTTAAAGATATATATAAAAATCAGAATTGAGGGAAATAACTATTCTAATCTTGTCCTGATTAGGGAGAAATACCAAGTTTATTTTTTAAGAGTAAGTTACGTTCCAATTTTTTTTTCCTAGTATTGAGTTTCGTATTGTTTCTAGCTCATTAACTTTCCTTGTCTCTCCCAGAGCAACACATTTCACCACTGTTTTGCATATGGGAGGCATAAACAAAAGCGGGACATTTTAAGGCATGATCCCATGGGGCCTTCGAGAAGTTTATATTTCACTGGAAACTCTGAGCATCTTTTGCCCAGCTAAGGAGAACATCTGCTTCCTCTTAGCAACTTTAAGTACACTTTGATCCTGACGTCTTTCAATATCACCCACACAATGTACTTGAGGTTTTCCTGAGAAAATGGGAGAGGGAGTGACATTTGAGTTGGGGGCAAACTGCCACTTTCCAGGAGACATTTAACTAAAGGTTTTGCTTAGGAATAAAAAAGCACAGTTTTAGTGCTGCTTATTCTTGGTTTTTGGTTAGAAACCTCTTTCTGCAATAATGCTTACCATCTATGTAGCATTTTAAAGCATTAAACAAATTACTCCTCAACCAACCCTTTGTCAGGAAGTCAATTAGGTAGAATATAATTTGTAGATGGAAAACGAAGAAATAATCTGACTTAATTAGAATTCAGATGTATACTCCATGCTTCCAATTATCATTCTCCCCCAACCACCAAGAATTTCCATGTGTCAGCATGATTTTAGCCAAGACCTTTCTGATAATTGTCTATTTCAAATTTAAGATGTTCCACCAACTACATTACTTTGGGCTCCTTTATTTATTAGTTCATTCCAAAAGCACCTACTGAGTGCAGAGTAAGCGTTTAGACATTGTAGGTCATTTTTATCAAATTAAATAATAATTTAACTCAAGGGTCAGAAAACTATGGCCCCTGGACCCTGTTTTTATAAATAAAGTTTTATTGGAACACAATTATACCCATTTGTTTAGATATTCTCTATGGCTGCTTTTGAATTGTAACTTCAAATTGAGATTGAAACGATTTGGTTATTGCAAGAGAGATCATACAACCCACCAGACCAAAATATTACCATGTGACCCTTTACAGAATGAGTTTGCCAACCCTGTTCTAGCTCCGTGATTTCTAAACACCTCGTCTAACTGCACATGGATTTCCCGAGAACCAGTTAAAGGTGTAGACCCTACACCCAAAAGATTCTGATTCAATAGGTTAGTGGGAAAGGCACGCAAAATCTGTTTTATTTTTTTAAAACCTCTTAGGTAATTGGGTTGTAGAACTCCATTTGAGGAATGCTGTTCTAGGTGATAAAATTTAAGAGTAGTCAAGAGAGAGATTTTTTTTTTAAGTAGGCATGCCCATGGGATGAGACTAAGGACCAGCTTCTCAGAAATGGTAATTATCTACAAGTTTTGATCATTTGAATTATTGGAAAATCCAAAATTTACTGCAGGCAGTAGAGAAAACAGTTGAGTAAAGCTGTGGAGATGGTAGGGAACAAGAATGAGTGAAAGAATATAGCAAGGAAACAGATCTAATCAAAGACAGGGTGTCATTCAAGATACATGAAAGGAAATATTTCATTTGTATGGAGTTGGTGATCAGAGCAATAGATGCCCTTGAAGGCTTATTGAAAACACTTTCAGTCTAAATTAATAGCTCAAGATCTGAGTTGCAGTAGAACTGATCCAGCCAAGCAGCGTATCCCAATCTCTGTGATGAACAATGGCGGTCATTAGTAATGTTATGAGTTAGGTTAGGGTCAGGAGATACATTAAATCAGCAGCTACTTCAGAGTCTGAACCTGCAACTTGAACCTCATAAGCAACGTCCTCAAAGTTTAATGACGTCAACAACATGGAGAGGGCTTGCTAACACTCAGAAAGCTGAGTTTCCTCTCTAGAGTTTCTGGTTCAGTGGGTTGGGAGCAGGATCTGAGACTCTGCATGGCTAACAAGTCCCCTGATGATGCTGATGGTGCTGGTCCAGGGACCACCTTTGAGAACCGCCACTCTAATCAAATGAGACAAATGTCTGGGAAAGATGGGTCGCATAGTGTGCACATAAGCAGGCTCTGTCACCGAAGCTCACTCAAGTCCGCAGCTGATACACTGAGACAAATGCACTATTCTCCTTCAGGTTTGAACTTTCAGAAGGGCTCATCAGTTGGGATGGAAACCAAATTGAAATCAAAGGATCATAAATAATGACAGAACCAATAATAGAATAGGCCTTGGAGACCCTTTAGTCCAACCTATTAGATAATAGACTAGATGGAGAAACTGAAAAACAAAGAATTTACCTGGTTGAACTGCATCCAGGTTCTAATGGCCACCCAAGGGTGTAGTTCTTCAGAAGGAAACTGTGTAATAAACATAGGAGATCTTAAATATTAAGAAAATAAACCAGGACTGAGTTCATATCCCCTCAGTTTACTAAACAGCTTACAGATGGAAACAATATATGAACTCGAATTTTATTAATTATACCAAAGGGAGGACCACAGTGGCAGAAACAACCACCAAAACAATTAATCAAGATTAGAAATCAACTTTGGCTCGTAAGAACTGGTATACTAGAGTAAAATGTATTTCTGTATTAGCTCGTGATTTTAAAAGGCAAACTATCAAATTACTAATATTGACTCTTTCATTTAGTTCTCAACTGTTTTGCTGAATTTCAAGTTAAGGAAATTGAAGCTTGATTCAGGTTCAAGTCTTAGTTCCTGATTATGGGTAAATGACAACTCAGGTAACTGCAATTGATTGAGAGTGACATCTAAGCAGAGACGCTTCACTCCTTTTGGGCTCCCAGGGCACTTAGAAATAATTCAGATATGGTTTCTTATCAGCTGGGTATTAGCAGCCTGTAAATATGTGTCCCCATTCACATAATGAGTTCTGACAGAGTAAAAGCCACCTGGAAACCTTTAAGCTCCTTCTTCAAGAGGTGTTTTAGCTACTTTTCCCTGAGGGACAACCAATCAACGATACATTATTTTAGTTTGTTGACATGTGGAATGTGTCAGGCTTTTGTTTTGTCTTGTTTCATTTTTCTGTTTTTCATTTGCTTTCATTTGTTTGCTGTTTGTGCTCTTCACTTGTCTTTAAAATGTAGGACAAAAAGGATCAGTTTCCTTGTCCAGCCACATGTCATATGTAGATAAAAATGAGTTAATCTTTAATGAAGCAGAAAGTGAGCTATCTAAAGGCAATTTCCTTCCGGGCTTTACATGATGGCTCTTGTTCATTTTATTGGGTTCATCAACCAAATGGTTATTTATTCATATATCCATCCATCATATATCGAACATTACTATGTGGAAGGAATTTTGACAGGTTTGGGTTACCCCCAACATTGTAATTATTTGAAAAGAAGAAGGATCAAGGAAATACTGCTCTCATACTAGGCACCACTTCAGTTCTTATTTCCTTTTGGTTTCATCATGGTGCAATTTCTGCACTCTGGATTATTTAATCATTTTACAAACAAGATTACTCTTCCATCATTTTCAAAGTGATGAAATAAAGAATTTGGTAATTTCTTTGCTTGAAAATTCTGGGTATTATGAAATATTCTGTTCTTTATAAGTTAAATACAATTTTCCTCAGCCTGGTAATTTGAGGTACTCTTTCCAAATTTATCCTAACCTTGAATGAAAGCCAGTATCTAAGTCAAGCCTATTTATGCATGAATTCCTATGCGCATGTTAAGAAACTCACCTTGGTGTTTGGCTGTTTTCTTTCAACTTAGAATGAACTCCACTTCCCCAAAGATTATGAATTCTTCAAAGACCAACTTCAAGTTCAGCTTCCTCTCCTGGTCTCCTTTGGGAGCCACGACACCACAATGAGATTGTTCTCTGGGCTTTCAGGACTAATGTGTCTACATTACTCATCTGAGAGATCAAATACTGCCTATTATTATGAACTAGAGGCCCGGTGCACGAAATTTGTGCACAGGCAGGGTCCCTAGGCTTGGCCGGCGATCAGGACCGATCTGTGGGGTGACTGGAGGGGCGTTTGGGGGATCCTCCGCTGGAACCCACCTTGGCTGGCCTGGGGCCTGTGGGCTGGGGGCAGCTCCTGCATTGAGTGTCTGCCCCTTTGTGGTCAGTGTGGTCACTGGTTGTCCGCCATTCAGTCTATTTGCATATTAGGTTTTTATTATATAGGATTATTGTTTTGAAATATGTGTGCTATAAGCTCTTTGAGGACAAATAATAGGGCACATATTTCCTTGTATATCTCATAGAGTTTAACAAAATTTTTTCATATACATATTTTCTTTATTCAAAGAAGCAGATATAATAGAAATGGATACTGGAAGAATATATAATTTAAGGAAATATATTAATAGTAGTTGTCTATGTATCCATGCATGAATGATTTTTATACATTTTACTGCTTTGTGTTTTCAATCTTTTTATTGTGGATAACTGATGAAATGTATTTTGCTAGTTGCATACAATAACCTCAGGATTTAAAAGCCTATTATCTAATATCCCTGAGCAGAACTAGGTTCTTTCTTCACATTTCTGTATGTCAGAATTATATGTCAGATTAGAATCACAATACATGAAACTAATAAAAAATAGTGTTGAATGCAAATTGTAAATGAAAAATTAAAAAAAATATTAGAATTGCAGAATACTTTGTAGGTTACAAAGAGATGTAGAATATTGGGAAAATAGAGAAAACAAGAAAAAATACACAAAGTTTACACAGAAAGAATGCTCTTGTTTAACATGTAAAATAAATAAATAAATATGCATATAGTGGGAAGACAATATATAGTATACTTTTTATGTGCACATTGTGTATATGTAATATAAATACATGTGAAAAATGCAGATATAATCAGTTAAGCACATAAAATTTTTCTAATAAAATCTGTAAATGCACAATGGAATACTACTTGGCCATAAAAAAGGAAGGAAATCTTACCCTTTGTGATAGCTTTGATGGACCTGGAGAGCATTATGCTAAATGAAATAACCAGTCAGAGAAAGAAAACTACCATATGATTTCACTCATATGTGGAACCTAATGAACAAAATGAACTAACATGAAAAATAGAGACAGACTAACATACAAAATAGAGACAGACTCATAGATAGAGAGGAGCCTGAGAGCTGTTAGGGGTGGGGTTGGGGAGCTGAGTGGGAGGGTGGAGGGATTGAGCAAAAAAAAAAAAAAAGAGAGAGAGAGAGAGAGAGAGAAAGAATTCAAGGACAGGGACAATAGTGTGGTGACTGCCAAGGGAAGGTGGGGTGGGAAGAGAGGGAAGAGGGTAGAGGGGGGTGATGGTGATGGACAAAGACTTGACTTGAGGTGCTGAACACACAATACAGTGTACAGATGATGTGTTGTGGAATTGTGCACCTGAAACCTGTATAAGTGTGTCAACCAGTGTCACCCCAATAAATTCAATAAAAAGGAAAAAAAGACTGTAAATAGTGTTCTTTAATCTCTTTTTCCATTATGTCTACTGCAATAGTTTTTCATGTCCTTAAATAATATTTTTAAGAATTACATATAATGGCTACTTATTAATCCATTTTCTAGATTAACTATAATTGAATTACAAAACAATACACAGTTTTTCCACAGATTTGCTTAGCCCTGGCCAGGTGGCTCAGTTGGTTGAAGAGTTGTCCTATACAACAAAAAGTAAGTTGCAAGTTTGATTCCCAGTCAGGGCACATGCAGGAGGCAGCTGATGGATGTTTCTATTCTTTCTTTCTTTCTTTCTTTCTTTCTTTCTTTCTTTCTTTCTTTCTCTCTCTCTCTCTCTCTCTCTCTCTCTCTCTCTCTCTCTCTCTCTCTCTCTCTCTCTCTCCCCCCTCCCTCTCAAAATCAATAAACATATCACATATCCTTGGATGAGAAAAAAAATAGTTGCTTAAAAATTAAGTACTTCACCCTAACCGGTTTGGTTCAGTGGATAGAGCGTCAGCCTGCAGACTGAAGGGTCCCAGATTCGATTCTGGTCAAGGGCATGTACCTTGGTTGTGGGCACATCACCAGTAGGGGGTGCAGGAGGCAGCTGATCAATGTTTCTCTCTCATCGATGTTTCTAACTCTCTATCCCTCTCCTTTCCTCTCTGTAAAAAAATCAATAAAATATATTTTTTAAAAATTCAGTACCTCAATGAACCCAATAGATAAAATTCATGCACATCCATTTTCATTTTTTAAGATAAATTACCAGAAGTAGAATTTCTGTGTTAAAAAATAATCATATACTTAGATGTGATGTTTATTACTAACTTGGCCTCTATAAGGCCAAAGTTTTTAATTTCACATTTCCTTTTTTAAAATTTACTATTTTTTATAACTTTATTGGGGTGAAATTGGTTAATAACATTACATCATTTCAAGTGTACAATCTAAATATATAAAAGCCTAAGCAACTGAAAAACTGGTCTACCGGTTGCTATGATGTGCACTCACCACCAGGGGGGCAGATGCTCAACACAGGAGCAGGCCCCTGCTGGTCAGTGCGCTCCCACAGCGGGAGCACTGCTCAGCTGACCAACGGGTGCCAGACGCAGGGCTCACAGCTGGCCGCCACAGCTCGGAGACCATGGCAGAGCAGCAGCAAGCCTACCGAGAGGTGGCTGCAGCAGGCACAGCGGGACGAGGATGAGCAGGACCAGTAGGCAGGAGCAGCAGGTGGCACTGAACTGCTGGTTTCAACCTAATCCCCGCAAGCTATGCTGAGGGACCTCACTGGTGCACGAATCCATGCACCAGGACTCTAGTTATGTAATAATACATTATCTGTATATTGCATTGTGTGCACATCAACCAAAGTCTTGTCTCCCTCTTTCACTATAAATTTTTCTCCCTTCATCCTCTTTATACCCTCCCCTTCTCATCTGGTAATCATCCTTCTGTTGCCTGTATCAGAGTTTGTTTGTTTTTCTTTCTTTCTGTTTTATATTCTACATGAGTGAAATCACATGGTTCTTGTCTTTTCCAATCTTATTTTGCTTAGCACAATATTCTCGATACATCCATGCTGTTGCAAATGGCAGTATTTCATCTTTTCTTGTGGCTGAATAGTATTCTGTTGGGTACCACATTCTCTTTATCCAAGCATCCATCAAGATATACTTAAGTTGTTTCTATGTCTTGGCTACCATGCATGATGTTGCAATGAACATAAGGGTACATATATCCTTATAAATAAAAATTTGAAAATTTTTTTAGGTAGATACCCAGAAGAGGATTGCTGAGTCATATGGTAGTTCTATCCCTTTTTTTCTGTTCTGCTTGTTCATTTGTTTTTTTTAGATTCAATTGTTGATAGATATGTTTTTATTGTTCATATTTTTTTTCTTCTTCTTTTAAAATAAGACCCTTTAATAATCCCTGTAATACTGGTTTGGTGGTGATTATCTCCTTTCGATTTTTCTTGTCTAGGAAGCTCTTTAAGTCTAAATGTCCTTCAAGTCTAAATGATAGCTTTGCTGGGTAAAGTAATCTTGGTTATAGGTCCTCGCTTTTTATCACTTTAAATATTTCTTGCCATTCCTTTTGACCTGCAAAATGTCTGTTGAGAAATCAGCTGACAGTCTTATGGGAGTTCCCTTGTAGGTAACTAACTGTCTTTCTGTTGCTGCTTTTAAGATTTTTCTCTTTGTCTTTAATCTTTTGCATTTTAATCATGATGTGTCTTGGTAAAGGCACCTTGGGTTCATCTTGTTTGGGACTCTAAGATTCTTGGACTTGTATGTCTATTTCACCAGGTTAGGGAAGTTTTATGTCATTATTTTTTTCAAAGAGGTTTTTAATTTCTTGCCACCTTTCTTCTCCTTCTAGCATCCCCATGATGTGAATGTTGGTATGCTGGAAGTTGTCCCAGAGGCTCCTTACCCTACCTGCATTTTTTTAGATTCTTTTATCTTTTTGCTGTTCTGATTTCTTTTGCTTTCTTATATTTCAAATCACTGATTTAATTTTAGGCTTCCTCTACTATACTGTTGATTCCCTATAAATTATTCTTCATTTCAGTTAGTGTATTTTTTTTTCTGGCTGGTTCTTTTTTATGGTTCCCATGTCCTGTTTTATGCTTACTATCTATTTCTTGAAGTTCCCATGAAGTTCACTGAGCATCCTTGTGACCCATGTTTTGAACTCTGCATCCAGCAGATTACTTGTCTTCATTTTGCTTAGTTCTTTTTCTGGAGTTGTGTTCTGTTCTTTCATTTAACGTATGTTTCTGTCTCCTCATTTTTGCAGCCACCCTGTGTTTGTTTCTATGTATTAGATAGAGCTGCTATATCTCCTGGGCTTCGTACAGTGGCCTTATGTAATAGGTATTCTGTAGAGTCCAGTAGCACAGCCTCCACAGTCACCCAAGCTGAGCACTTCAGGTGTGCCCTGTCCCTGAGTGGTCTATGTTATAGTTGAGCTATGATTGCTGTTGGAACATCAATAGGAGGGATTTTCCCCTGGGCTGATCAGCTGCAAGGATTGGCTACAACCACCTGTCACCATGGAGGATCAGCTCTGCAGGGACCAACCCCACAGAGCAGGAATTACTTTGGCAGGGCTCTGATACCCACTGAGTTTGCTCCTTAAATGTGTTGCTTGTGGAGGTAGTTAGGTGGTGCTCTGATGTGGGCTGAAGCTGTCCACTGGGTGCACTGGCTCTTGGGCCTCCAAGAGTTGTAGGCTAAGGTCAGCCATTGCCTGTGTTATTCCTTGGCCACTCAGCATGAGCTACAAAAGGGTCTGCAAATGGTTGTTACTTCAACCGGGCTTGGAGATGCCCAGATGAGGCCAAGCTGCAAACCAAGGCTGGCTGTCACTAGTGTCTAGCCTGGGGCCACTTAGCAAGAGGTTTGGGGCACATTGAGGCCAGATGCTTCTTTTTTGAGAGATTTTAGGAAAGTCTGAAGCATGAGCCAAGATAGGTCATTCATATGGGTAAGCCACAGGAAACAGTTTGGGTGGGCCTACAAGTTGGGTGGGGTAAGGTCTCAGGTAATCACCAGGGCAGCACGAACAGTATGAGCCAAGTTGAAGGAGACTCAGATATGGCTTCTGTCTGCCTGCTCAGTCTCACTGTGGCTTCTTCTTTAAATCCCTGGTTGTAGGACTTCCATTTAGTTAGATTTCAGGCAGTTCAGAATGATGGTTGTTCTATAGTTTAGTTGTAATTTTGGTGTTGTACTTTAATTATTAAGTGGTCATATTTATTTGAATAGGATGAGGGCAGTCTCAGTGATGCTTACCATAATAATCACTGTTAGAGAATATTTATTGTGGGTTTTCTCCAGCAGAAATGTGTCCATGGAATCAACTAAAAAGCCAAAAAATCAAACCTTAAATTAGTAAAGGTGGTTATAAAATTTCTGAAGCCACTGCAGTTGAATTTAAAATTTTTTGTTGTTGTTGTTGTTGCTTTGTACAAAGCCTGGAGAATTCACTATATTCCTAATGTTACATAATGTAGATGCGGTATGTAGTATGTTTATTCTTCTTCAAAGAACTTTCAAAATCTTTACTGATTAACTCATTAATCACTAGCTAAACCAGCAAACTGAAAAGAAGGTTGCAAAATAAAAGAAAAAAGCAAATGGTTGTGAAAGTGGCAATCTATAAATGTAACCATAGTCTACAGAGTTGATGGAGGGGCTGCTGTTCATTGGTGATTCATTGGGGGTGGGTTTTCATTGTTTGCTTGTTTGGGGTATGGAGAGAGTTTATCTGGCTTTGATATTAGACAGTGTCTTGCTGCCTGTTCTGACAAATAGCTCACAATGCCAGCTTTTCACACACTGGATGCTGGGGTTTTTCATTTCATATAGCAGCATGAAAGATCTAGTGCCCTTTATGCTGAAGCACCAAAATGTGCTTCAGGAAATGTGTAGGAGGGAGAGGGGAGGGAGGGGCAGAAGAGATGATGCAAAAGAGCAATTCCTAATTTTAGTAAATGAACTGAATCCTAGAATTAGAAAGAAAATCCTCAAAATGGAAGCTGAAAATGTCTGACAACTTTAAATCTAGGATAATGACAATTTATAAAATTTAAGCTTTAAACAAATCAACATTTCCCAATTCCTCAACCTATATTTTGAAGGGCATCTATCCAGGTGGTTTCTAACCCTTCTGGTGTTGAGATAAATGAAAAGGGAGGTGGGAGTGGGTGTATGATAGTCTCACAGTAATGCACAGTCCCACCCATCTATTCACCCTCTAAGCAATTTTAAAATCAATTCAGTATTTCCTGGATAGGTTGACGTCACCCTGCTCATAGCAGAGTAAAGGACCAAGCTGCTTGCTTTGTGCTCATTAAAATTCTGTATACTACACCATGCAGGAGCCAATTCTATTTTCAGAACAAGCATAAAACAAAGCAATGAATATTCTTGTCTATGGGTCCAATGTGGGGAGAGCAGAGAGGAGTCATGTGGGGGGAGGGCCATAGATCGGAAAGGGGAAGAGAAAGCAAGGAATCTGCCCTGGCCAGTTTGGCTCAGTGGATAGAGCATCGGCCTGGGGACTGGAAGGTCCCGGGTTCGATTCCGGTCAGGGCACATCCCCAGTGGGAGGTGTGCAGGAGGCAGCTGATCGATGCTTCTCTCTAATCAATGTTTCTAACTCTCTATCCCTCTCCCTTCCTCTCTGTAAAAAATCAATAAAATATTTTTTTTTAAAAAAAGCAAGGAATCTTTTCATCAAATTCTAGTAATATAATTAAGTTTCAACAATATATAGTTAATAAAACATCCAAAACACAGACATGAATTCCAGAGCACTCCAAGAATTCTAATCTAAGGGAGACCAGCCAGGAAGGTAGTGACAGTCAATGTAATCTGGGGGAAATGACTTTACACAAAGAAATTGAAAGCATCATTCTCAGTCCTGCTATTATTGTCATTAAGAAGTTTTTATTCTCACAACCCATTTATAAGGAAAATATCTGTGACTCATCTTGGTACTATCTACATAAACATAGCACCTAGTTCTTTCATAGATTTATATAATATATATAGTACATGCGTTTATATACATAAATCTATATATGAATACGCATATGTTTATGCACATAAATCTATGCATGAATATGGACCTGTCTACAGGATGGAGCCTGGGTCCTGACTGCCATGGTGGAGGGATTCTGTGAGAGATGGCTTTGCCGTGACCCTGAATCTTAAGGCTGCCTTTCCTATGCTCTGGTGGAGCGAGGCAGGGTGGCTACTGAGAGCATTGGAGCTGTATAGAGCTGAGGGAGCAGTGACTGTCTTTCGCCAATGTGAGCTGCACCTCATGAACCTGGTGCCTTTCTCCTCAGCCTGCAGAAGCCCTGTGGCTCTTTTCCCACTGAGGAAGGGAACCCAGCCAAAGGGAGGCCCTCCCTTGCTCTCAGAACACCCAGAGACTAGCACCTGCTGGGCCTGCCTCAGTCCCACCCGAAGGGTAGAAATGGCCGCCCACTGACCAAGACAAAGGGACCTTGAATTCAGAACAGGACAGCCCCTTTGTTTCTGAGAGTTCCACACACATCAAGTGTTCCTTCTCCCCGGACAACGGACCAACCCCACTTCAAATACTCTTTTAAATTCTCAGTGAGGTACCTGGTCTTTTCTTTTTCTTCTTTCAACCACTATTCACACACACACACACACACACACACACACACACACACACAGAACATGTACGCACATAAGTACAAACTCATACACACACAAACATACAGACGCACTCAAAAACACATATATACATGTACACACACAAACACAGAGACACACATGCATATGCATGCACACACATATACAAAAACACAGAGACACACACACATACACACATGTATACATGCATACACATGCACGCACACACACAGCCAGTGGGACCACACACGAGGTAAGAAACAAGACTTTTATTCTAAGAAGGGCAGGCTGACCTTTCCGAGTTCATTAGAAACACACCGCAGCATGCATGCGGAGGCTCTCTAGAATGGAACTCCATGTTCAAAGGCAATGAAAAATTGCCTAAAGACCCGCTTCCCTCCCCCGCTGGGTCAAGGGAAAGGAAGATGGGCAGAGTTCTTCCAGGAGGGGTTGGCCCTGTGCCCGCTTGGCACGGAAAGGAACCAGCCGCCTCTCTACCCACATCCTCTATTTTCAGAGTCAGCCTGGTTCCAGGTCCCTGCTGGGGGCTGTGGCCTGGCCCAGAGGGGGCGGAGTGGGGGAGGGGGGAGGCTCTTGCATTGTCGGGAGTGTTTGGGAGTGGGAGGTGTAACTCTGGAGTTCATGCCACAGAGTGACCTAAACGGGACACCCTCCGTCTTTTGTCTTCCTGGCCTAGGTCGTATTGCCCTTTGAAATGACATGGCGGTGCCAAGACCCGGTGGGTAGGACAGAGCATAGCCTGGGAACAGAGGAGAGAGCTCTATAACATCCTTCTCTGAGACCAACCAGCTTCAAATCTCAGCCCTGCCACTTTCTAGCTCTGTGACCTAGGGCAGTTACTGAACCTCTCTGTGCTCAATTTCCTCAGCTATAAATCGGTGCAGTAGCAGTCCCTACCTCACTGGGTATTTGTGAGGATTAAATGAAGACACTCTTCCAAAGGGCTAAGGACAATGCCTGGGACTCAGTAAAGCCCATCGCGCCTGACTCCCCACTGACCTGCTCTTGGACTTTGAAAGAAAGAACAAAGGAGAACCAGGCTGCCGCACTCAGGCTCCCACCTGTGGACCCTGGTGGTCCAGGCCTGGTGGGGCTGGCACAGCCCTCCAACCCCTCCCCCATCCGCTCCCGCATTTCTCTGGGCTGAGTGCAAGCAGGGTTGTTGGCTGACTCCCCTGAAAGGAACGGTGGCCTCATTACCCCAGAATAACGTAATTAAGAGGGTCTGTGCAAGGAGACACTGGGCTGAGGCAGAGCCTGGTCTACGCATGAGTACAGGAGTGTAGGTTCTGGAAAGCTGTTTGAATGTCATGCTGGGCCTTATTTATTATTTACAACATGAGGGAGAAAAAGGAACCATCGAGACTTTGTTCTTCATTTTATTTCGAGTTCCTATTGCCTACAAATAAAGCACCCACTCCCTGGAGAGAGTCGCCAATTATCTGCAACCTGCTTGCCAGGCACCATGATTGCAGGGGAACTGACCAGGGCACGGACAGATTTGGATCTGAAACAGCAGTGAAATGTCTGCTTTGATAACTGAGACTAACAATTCCAGGCTAGAGAAGCATGTGCGGAGGCTGTTTCTCTACCACACGCGTGTATTTTCCAAACCACAAATCAAAACCTAGCATGTCAAAAGGAGACATAGGTACTACTATTTGTAATATTTTAGACAATAAAATAAAATTTTTTAAAAATACCAAAAAAAAAAAAAAAAAAAACTTAGCATGTCACAGAGGATTTTTGTCTGGCTTCTGCCACTGCCCTTAGGCAATCTTAAAGGTAACAGTGTGAATACCAAAATATCAGCCTTTAGGGAGTATGTGGGAAATAGGAGAGAATATTTTATTAACTTGAAAACTTCAGGCCCTTACCATATTCATTCATTTGTCAGGAGGTAAAAGGCAGCAAACAGGGAAATATTTTTAAGTGGAAATCCATCCTTACCATTTATAAGGGTTAAGCCCTTATTCTTATCTTGATCTGAATTGCAAAGAGAAATTAGAACCCCATCCTGAGTCTCCATAGTGACTCCCAAGCACTAGCTGTCATGGGTAGAACTGCCAAAAGTCACTCTCTAATCCTATCTCTCTCCTGTCTGTCCCTCAGAAGAGGCAACCGCCTATGTACCTGACTATATTCTCCTTCTCCTCCCAGGGCATTCAAGAGGACAGAGTATCCATCACCATGAGCACTTTGATTTCTTCAGTGTGCTCCTGGGTTAGAAACAAGATGGCAAGAAATGATGTTCCCCTGGTCCCGGCAGAGCTTGGCCTCCAAGGTCAGTCCAGCATCGCAGTCTGTGGTCTTGGAGTCAGGCTATCTAGACTTGAATCTTAACTTCCCCACTTACAATCTGGGTAAGCTCTCTCGGCCTGTTTTAGCAAAATAATAACCAGCACTTCACTCATTGGAATAACTGTCGCAATAAGCAAAGAACCTGGTTCATGCTTAGAATTAAATGAATGGTAACTGTCGTTTTGAGACAAAGAAAATAATGTAGGGACTATCGGCACATCAGCATCAACCCTAAGCAATTAATTGTCTAGTCCTCTCCTAGGCATGTGAAGAAGAACAAAAATATAGAATATTTTTCCTAACATTAAATCACAACATTTTAGAACAGGAAATATAGAAATATAAAAATTTTAAATAAGTTATTGGGG